ATGAACGCCTAAAACTATGTTAACTTTGATTCATATTCAGGTAAATGCCTTCCTAGGCGCTGCCGCGCGTTTATCTGACGGTGGGTGGTGTCGACCATCATCCGGTGGTTGCTGATGAGGAGGAGCCTGAGCAGCAGATGTTCCCCAGAAGAAGTTGGACACTCTTTAAACGCAGCACATGGGTCGGCGCTTGATTCCGCCGAGGAAGGGAAACGCTGCGAGGTAACTAAAATGTGTTGCGTTTTATTTACAGATGCAGCCATCACCTTAATCTTTACAACAGTGTCGACAGTGACACCTGGTTAGCCTTCACTGCAACTTCCTTTAACCTCCCGAAACAGACGTTAGCATGATGCGCCTGAACATGTATGTTCACCGCCAGCTGTTTGTTAGCTAAACATACAATCACCGCGAGACGTGTTTAAAAACGGGCACTGTTTGGAGCCATTATTATCGTTAGCCGGTGAGTGTAAGCTTGAGCTGGGCAAACAAACTTAGTTCATCCCCGGTTATTATATTAAATTCCGTATAAGGCCAGTGCTAATGGGGATAAATCAGCCTCCGGCTCGCGCTAATCATCCACAGCACGAGGAGGTTTTGTGTAACGGAAAAACACGAGAGGTTGATTTAGTTGTTGGAAACTCAGCGCGTCGCTACCGGATCGATTCGTGTGGAAATTTCTCAGCACAAAATGAGACACTATCCACGTTTCAGAGCCTCAACATCCGCGCGCCGTGACCAGTGTTGAGCCGAATGTTGTGTACACGTGAGGTGAAAGATGCACTCCGCGGGAGCGCGCGCACCCTGGCGCAATGAGTTTTTCGCCTTAAGCAACGTGGTAGTGCGAGACACACTTTGTCGCCTTTATCGTTAATTTCACCCGCCGCTAAAAGGTGAAGTGTGTGGGGATTTTGTTTTTGTTCGTGCCTGTTAGAAAAATATCTCAAGAACTGGAATTTTATAAAACGAAATGTAATGGTTTGTACATCTTCAGCTGATGTAACTTTTAGTCACCATGTTTCAAGATGGCTCCCACAGCTAACTGACTTCAGAAAACACAAGAAATGGCTACAGCTCTGTACATTTTACAGATGTTGGCTTAAAATTTGGTGTGGTAGCACCTGAGCCTGGTCCTTGACACATTTTCAGAGCAGATGGCACAAGATTTTGCCACACCTCTGCCTTGTCTGTTAGCAAAATATCTCATTAACCACTGGACTGATTTGAATGGAACTTTAATAAATTACTTGTTGGACATTCTTCTACAACTCTTCAACTTTTGGCGCCAACTCAATTCAAAATGGCTGCCACAGCCAACTGGCATTAAAATCTCAAATGACAGCCATGCGTTCAGTTGTATAGATATCAAGCTAAAATTGGGTGTGGTTGTAGCTGAGACTAGTCCTTAACTTGTACTTGGAAGTGCTACACTTTGCGTAACATCTTTGCTTAAAACCTTGGCATAAAATGTTGGTGTCAACCCTGTTTGTTAGCAAAATATCTTGTGAACCAGTGGTCATGTTTCTAATTAAATCATTGGATGTGCATCTTCAACTGATTAACTTTCCAACACCAACTCAAGTTGGCTTTCACAGCTAATGAGACATTAACCAACACAAAAAGTCTAATTTCATTTTAGTACAGCTATTGAGCTAAAGTTTGATGTGGTAGCTGAGAGTCATCCTTATAACGAACTCTGAGTGCTAACAGATTAAACATAAATGTCATTTACAAGGTTTAATAAACTTTTATTCTTAACATCAATAGATCTTGACTTCAATATTTAGGTTTCAATGCAAGTTAATTTATGCGAGTTCTGTTTTTACTTTACACTTGTGTTATCTCCCGTCTTCACATTTTGTTTTGTGTGAGCAGCACAAGAGTCCCGAAACACTTTAGTGCAAACATACACACAGTGGCCAAGTGTTTTATCTGTCATTTTTCTTACGTTTCCAGGTAATAAATGTGAATGTTGAGTAAAAACCGGCTTAAAATTGTTACGTTTTGTTGACATATAACATGGAGGATGCTCCATGTTGTTACATTTTTCAAAGTACAGTAAGTGGGTCCATTAAAAAGTCTAGACATGTAAAAACTTTGGCATAGTTTGATCTAATACTATAGTTGAAATATATGTAAGCACACGTCTAAATGAGCATTTTAGTATTTTTTTAATGGAAATTTTAAACTTAAACAGCAGTATGTATTAGACAATATTCAAGCGTCCAGTAACTTTAGTTTTGCTGTCAATAAAGCCAGAATAGGATGTCACTATGCTGCACTGTCTCGTACAAGATGGTGGGGACGGAGTGTTCAGTCTGTCGAGGCAGATTCTTTGTAAAAAGCAGTTGTCTGACAGGTTTGTTTTGAAGCAGCTTCAACTTGACGACCAACACACAAATACCTGCTGTTGCTTTGTTTCCTGGTAGCTGATGTATTGCTTTTTGTGAAACACTTGGTGCACCTTTTCAATAAGGGCAGACTCAATAGTTTTGGATTCTGGATGTGGCTTCTAATAGTTCATATTTAGTTGCATGACGCTGTGCAACACATTTTTTTTTTTTTTTTTTTTTTAGAACTTGTTGTTTTGTCCGTCCTTCAGTGATCATCATTTATTATTAGTACCTCAGGAGACGTGAGTGTAGGAGCACCAGTGGAGGAAAGATCATCTTCATGTTTCTTTGCAAATACTTTTATTATTATCAGAGAGCTGTTAAAGCTGCAAAATGTACTGGTAGTTTCTTGTCGAACCTTATTTCCTCAAACTGTATCTGGATCCAGTGGCTCCCATCAGTTTGTCATATGGTCTTTGAATCTTTTGAGCCTGTGTGCCGTATTGACTAACATTGTTAAAAAGTGAAAGCCTTCTTCATGCCCTCTGGACACCATTCCTAATCTCTCTTTATAGATGTCTTTGACTGTGTTGGTCCATGTGTGGTCAAAATGGTAAAGGCTTCTCTGATGACTGGATGTTTTCCTACTGGTCTGAAACAAGCTGTGGTTCATCCGCTCATCAACAAGAACAACCTTGATTCAAATGTGCTGTTTAACTTCAGACCTATTTCTAAATTGCCATTTATGTCTAAGGTTTTAGAAAAAGTTGCTTATGTCCAACTTCACACTTCTCTTGACCTAAATGAAATTGTTGAAAATTTTCAGTCGGTTTTCAAATGTGGCTCAGCATTGAAACTGCCCTTTTAGAAGTTTTTAATTTTAACTGATGATGGGGGAAAATCAGCAGTTCTTTTTGATTTGTCTGCTGCCTTCGACACTATGGGTCACAACATCCTTTTGACCCGTCTGGAGTCACTTGTTGGTATTCAAGGTACAGCGTTAAATTGGTTTCGATCCTATCTGTCAAGTAGGAGTTTTTCTGTAAATCTAGGTCAGTATTCCTTCTCTGTGTCTCCTCTGAAATATGGGGTGCCCCAAGGGTCAATATTGGCACCTGTTCTTTTTGTCTTGTACTTGCTGCCTTTGGGTTTTATCTTTTAAAAACACAGTCTCTTTTCATTGATTTTGCAGATGATATTCAAATCTATCTACCTGTAACTACAAATGACAGCCAGTCTGCTGTACATATGTTACAGGATTGTCTTCGGGGCGTACAGGTATGGTTGAGAGAGTGAACTTTTTGAACCTAAATAAGGAAAAACTGAGATTTTGGTGTTTGGTCAATGCTGTCCCCTGCTTGGGCATGACAGTGCGGTTGGTCCTTTGTCCTCCTTCTGTCGTCCGTTTGTAAAAAAAATCTGGGTGTGATGGTTGACCCTCTGTTTAAATTTGATAAGCATATTGGCGCTGTTATCAAAGCCAGTTTCTTCCAGCTGAGGACCCTTGCTAAGATAAAACCTTATCTTCCTCGGCCTGATCTAGAGAAGGCTATCCACGCATTTATTACATCGCGTTTGTAACACTTTGTATTTAGGGTTGCAGCGATTGCAGAGCGTCCAAAGCCCGTCTGTTGACGAAAACAAGGCGGATTGAATCTATTAACCCCATTTGCACACCCTTCACTGGCTCCCTGTTGCATTTTGGGTGAAATTTAAAGTTTTATTGATTGTATTTAAGTGTTTAAACTCTATGGGCCCATTTTACTTAAGCGAGCTGTTGCAGCCCTACACTCCATCCAGAACCCTGAGGTCAGCCGACCAGCTTTTGTTGGCTGTCCCTAAAACTAGGTTGAAGACTAGAGGTGACCGAGCCTTCTCTGTGGCAGCACCCAAACTGGAACAGTCTCCCTCTGTCAGTAGGTCACTTTAAGTCCAGACTGAAAACACATCTATTCTCCCAGGCCTTCAACCTCACTTCAACTTCAAATCAGTACTTGATTGATAAGTTTTTGGGAAATTGCACCAACTACCAATAAGTATGTCTTGGTTTTTATTTGTACTATATTTTATTTCTTTTATGATATTTTTATCTATGATGTTGTAATTATTGTGAAGCACTTTAGTCAGCTGAGGTTGTTGTAAATGTGCAATATAAATAAACTGACTCAACTCAACCAATGTTATAAATCAGCCGAACGGGTGCCAAACAAAGATGCACACAGACCTTTGCTTGAGTGACTGTTGGCTTGACTCGAGACTAAAATCATTTTGACCGCTGGCATCTCAGAAGTGATGTACTCCTCACTTTAAGGAACTCTGAACCTCTATTAGCTAGTTCCTCATTGACAGGGCACTGTCGTCAGTGGTAAATGAAGCGGAGAAAAGCTGGGTTGAAACTCCACATCATGTGATGTGATGCGTCTGACATCCTTAGTAACAAAACTAGCATGTGAGGCATGTGTATAACCAGAGTGTATGTCCTTGTTTTCCTTTGCAGAGTACCCCAGTGGAAAAGTACACCTTGGGTTCAATGGCTGTTTGAAATGGACACAACCTCGGCCTCTTTGTGACCCCACCAACCTCTCCTTTTTATTTATTTATTTGTTCTCGTTTTGGGTCTAGCTCTGTCTGTTCTTCCACCTGACCTCAGCTGCCCCCCTTCAATCTTCAGCGGTTCCTGAGTTGAGGCTCGGAGCTGTAAATTGCTCAGAATGGTTGCTGAAGTAGACTCGACCTCTGTAGGCAGTGGTGTTAGGCTGAAGCAGGAGATTTCCCTCCTCCATGGGGTCTGCCTCATCGTGGGAAACATGATCGGCTCTGGAATCTTCGTCTCACCTAAGGTAAGAGCCCAAGCTTTGTTTTGTTTTTTTCTCCTTTAGTTTATCATTCTGGAAAATTACAGTATTCTCATTCATGGACCTTCAGCTCTGTGTTGCGTCATATTAAAGATAAAAAGGGCTACTTTATTTCTCTCCAGCATTTCTTTTATTAAACACCTTCTCATTTTTCTTTGAGTCTGTTCAGTGTTCTGTGGTTCAGTTAGCATAAATGTTTCGTCACGTTTGTTTGGACATTTATGTGTCAGTTGGTGTTTTGACTGATTCTCCACGCTTGTGTTACTCTGCAGGGAGTTCTCATGTACACGGGCTCTTATGGCTTGTCTCTGGTAGTGTGGGCCGTCGGTGGCCTGTTCTCTGTGTTTGGAGCGTTATGCTACGCCGAGCTAGGTACCACCATACGTAAATCTGGAGCTTCCTACGCCTACATTCTGGAAGCCTTTGGAGGCTTCTTGGCTTTTATTCGGTATGTAGAAACGCCTCTGCGTTGCACCTTTAAAACCTACAATATGTCCTTATTAATCTGTCCTTTTCATGTTAGATTGTGGACGTCCCTGTTGATAGTTGAACCAGCCTGTCAGGCGGTGATCGCCTTGACCTTCGCCAACTACATGGTCCAGCCATTCTATCCCACCTGTCTAGCCCCTTATTATGCCGTCCGCCTTTTTGCTGCTGCCATCATATGTAAGGCTTTTCTTATACTGTTTACTTAAATAAACACGTGAGCTAATGGAGGTTGTGATGTGCTATTGCGTGGTATAGCATTTAAGTATTCATATTAGGGATGCACGATATTATCAGCATGGTATTAGTATCGGCTGATATTGGCGTTAAAGTTAAATATTAGCCTTTCATCAACTCACTGATATAAAAGGTGCTGTTTTTTTACGACAACCCAGTGACAAGGATGCCTGCAGCGCTAGCACAACGTGATGATGTCACACGTGCCTACCTGATCTCACGGTGGAGAGGAAAATTCAAAATGTCGGCGGTGTGGAAGTTTTTTTTTATTGTTGAGGATGTCAGATTCCGAAGATTTTTGGACTACGTTGAGCCTCGCTACATCGTCCCCCATCGGAGATATTTTTCCGATGTAATCTTACCCGAGTTACAAGATGTCATTTCCGACGTCATTAAGAAGCTAATAGCTGATAGCACTTGGTTGAGTTTTACCACAGACATTTGCACGTCGTGTTATCCCCGTTAGCATGATTAGTCTTACGGAACAATGGATAGACAAAAACTTTGAACTTAAAAAGTCTGTCCTTCATGCACAAGAGTGCAGAGGATCCCACACTGCAGCTAGGAACCTGGAACAAGCCTCCACAAGTGAGACAGCATCACAGGTGACTAATGCTAATAAATAACATTTAACACTTTTCATTTAATATAAGTTAAAGTGCTATGCATATCATATGGCTGTTACTGAATATATGTCACCAGCTCCTACAGCTGTGACACAATTTTTGTAGCAAATAAGCCTAAATAAGAGAGAGGGCTGTGTTTAGACAAAAAAAATGCATACAATTTCGGTATCTGTTATCGGCCAAATAAGTTTTAACATATCGGCCAAAAATCCAATATCGTGCATCCCTAATTCATATCCAGCGTTGTTGTGGATCTGTTCTGGACGAAACGATTACAGATAATGTGTAACCTTTTGCTAACTACCAACAAAACAAGGTTTGATATTTAAAAGGTGTTGTCTCCGAAATGCTTACATAGAAGAAAATGGGGTGCAGTCCAAGTGCTTTGCAAATGCAAAATCTTGCTTTTGTCAGTACTTTGTGTGCACCTAATGCAGCTGCTGGCAATCAGGTGTATGAACAATAATCTTTTTTATGAAAAGCAGTGCTAAATAAATACTTGTATTATTATTGAAAGCAAACACAGTTTTGTAAAGTTAAGCTAGCAGTTGATCTGAATGCTGGTCTCTCAAATGTGTGCACTGTTCCTCAGTGAGCTGGGCTTGAACGATCCTTCATGTTTACCTCTTAAACACTGCAGGATCATAAAACTTTTACTTCCTCTTGCATGAAACGTCTCTGCGATGCGCTTTATTAAAGTGCATTAAAAAGAAAAACAACTTTTTCAGGCTTTCGCGTTTGCAACAGCACATTTTGATCCAGTCTGTATTTAAAGGATAAGCGTACACGACTACAGTTTAAACCTGTTGGGTTTCTTTTAATTCCTCCTTAAAGCTACCTTGCCTTGTAACTACGCCAGCTGAAGGTTTGCAGCACTAAACCGAGGTATAAAAGGAATGTGAATCCAGCAGTTGAGTCTTAAACCTTCAGGCTTCAGGTTTATTTAAAGGACATGGTAAATCTTCCTGACAGAATAGTTAAAAAAAATGTGACGGGGCAGGTTGTAAACTGATCAGGGTTACGTGAAAGTAGAACCCGTGCTCTATATTCTCATAAAAGACCTTTGATGACTGATCACTGCTCTTATTCTTGTGCAAGCAGTTTAAAGCCCATTTTTCTGTTCATGTGCGTGGATGTCGTGACACATAATTTTACTGAAAATTGAAGGTCTCGTTGATTTTTGTACACGAGTCTCTTTTTAAGTGGATTCTGTGAATGTGTGACGCGTAAATGTGACGGAGGAATGGTTTTAGTCAGAAGTTCTTTAAATGACAGCCTTTGCTCTAATTTTCTGTGCTTGTATTCATCACTGTCTTCATTCTGTGGAGTTAGTTTGGTATTTTCTGTCTTCCCGTCCATCAGGTTTGCTCACTGCTGTGAACTGCATGAAAGTAAAATGGGGTGCGATCCTTCAGGTCATCTCCACTGTAGCCAAAGTCCTCGCTCTTATCGTCATCATCATCACTGGCCTGGTTAAGCTGGCTCAAGGTATTGTCCTATTCCAACACATAGTAACCAAACATGTTACAGAATAAAAGTATCTTGTGTCACAGCTCAGACCTGGAGGGGTGAGACAGTACAGCATTCTTCCAAGGTTGAGTCAGTATCTTGGACCTGGACCTAGATTTATCTACTTGGATTATTGAGCATGGACTCGCTGCAGCATTGTTCAGGATTACAACTGGAATGCTGCTAGTAGTTACTGATTAGCCTTCTGGGTAAAACCACCACCTTGTAGAAAAGATTTATTTAACGAGTTCGTTTATTTAGACTTTTTAGTTCAATGAAAAGATTAGCAGCAGTGTCGCGCTGCAGAAATGTGATAGCCGTGACCGTGCCACCAAACATTTTCTCATATAAATCAACAAACTGTGAAAAAGTCTGAATGTTGATAGCGATGCTTTCCTTTCATTCATTTGAAACTTGTAAGACCTCACAGAAATATTTGGCGCATTCTTCTGCATTTATCACAATGTTGCTTTATTCAAGTAACCAGACTGTTAACTATTGGCAGAACCCTGAGAAGTTCGATCTGCAGTTGAACTTTCCTCAGACCTTCCCTCTGATTGATTGATTGATTGATTCAATATGTAATTAAATCGTTCTGTCAGTTTGAGGCATAAAGAATTAATCACTTTAATTGAAACATTAAATTTATTTTCTGCTTCGTACTGGTGTACAGTACCTAAATACCTCTATAGTCTTTATTTTTTGTGTGACTTCTATCTTCTTCTTTTTTTTTTATTTTTATTCATTTTACAAAAAAAAAATTCTTCTTTTTATAACCAAACTTGACTTTCTCTGTCTGATTCATTGAATAGGCTCTAATTAGTTTTGTGTAGTCTAACAGAAAATAACTTGTGAACTAGTTTTATATAAACGAGTTGAACTGAAAGGATCAATACTTTTAATGTTGGCAAATGATTTCAGAACGTTAATGTAACGCCTCAGAATCTTAATTTGATCATTGTATGATGATACCAGAGTGAGGGTACTTTCTCAACTGTACATACCATATTTTCCAGACTATAAGTCACACTTTTTTTATATAGTTTGGCCAGTCCTGTGACTTGTAGTCTGAAGACTTGTATAATCCCCCACCCCACCCCCCACACCTATTCATGACGCAATTTTTGACGATGCGTTACATGTTCAGTCATACTGATATGAACCATAGAGTAAACATTACGGTCTGTAATTTTCATCATATGTACACTTCAACTATAAGACAATAAAGAAAAAAAAATCTAGGAAATCACATTGTAGGATTTTAAAATAATTTATTTGTAAATTATGTTGGAAAATAAGTATTTGGTCAATAACAAAAGTTCAACTCAGTACTTTGTAACATAACTTTTGTTGGCAATGACAGAGGTCGAACGTTTCCTGTAAGTCTTCGCCAGGCTTGCACACAAAGTAGCTGGTATTCTGGACCATTCCTCCATGCAGGTCTCCTCTAGAGCAGTGATGGTTTGGGCCTGTCGCTAGGGCAACACGGACTTTCAACTCCCTCCACAATTTTTTTTTATGGGGTTGAGGTCTGGAGACTGGCTACACCCCTCCAGGACCTGGAAATGCTTTTTACGGAGCCACTCCTTCGTTGGCCGAGCGCTGTGTTTGGGATCATTGCCCGTGCTGGAAGACCCAGCCACGTTCCATCTTCAATGCTCTCACTAATGGAAGGAGGTTTTGGCTTAAAATCTCACGATACATGGCCCCATTCATTCTTCCCTTAACATGGATCAGTTGTCCTGTCCCCTTTGGACAAAAACATCCCCAAAGCATGATGTTTCCACCCCCATGCTTCACAGAAGGCATGGTGTTCTTGGGATGCAACTCAGCATTCTTCTTCCTCCAAACACGACGAGTTGAGTTTTTACCTAAAAGTTCTGTTTTGGTTTCATCTGACAACATGATATTCTCCCAATCCGGCAAACTTCTGACGGGCCTGGACATGTACTGGCTTAAGCAGGGGGACACGCCTGGCACTGCAGGATTTGAGTGCCTCTCTGCGTAGTGTGTAGCCTTTGTTACTTTGGTCCCAGCTCTCTGCAGGTCATTCATCAGGTCCCTCCATGTAGTTCTGGGATTTTTGCGCACCGTTCTCATGATCATTTTGACCCCACAGGATCTTGTGTGGGGCCCCAGATCGAGGGAGATTATCAGTGGTCTTGTATGTCTTCCATTTTCTTACAATTACTCCCACAGTTGATTTATTCACACCAACCTGCTTTCCTGTTGTAGATTCACTCTTCCCAGCCTGGTGCAGGTCTACAATTTTCTTCCTGTTGTCCATCGACAGCTCTTTGGTCTTGGCCATGGTTGAGTTTGGAGTCTGACTGTTAGAGGCTGTGGACAGGTGTCTTTTTATATGTGGACAGGTGTCTTTTATACAGATAACGAGGTCAAACGGGTCCATTAATACAGGTAACGAGTGGAGGACAGAAGAACTTCTTAAAGAAGTTACAGATCTGTGAGAGCCAGAAAGCTTGCGTGTTTGTTATTGACCAAATACTTAATTTCCAACATTTTAAAAGCAAAAAATAACAGCTGGTTTAAAAAAACGCACTAAATTCAGTTTAGTTTCCAGCTGCGCAGCTTGAATTTTGAATAACCTAAATGAGTATTTATACCGCTAATACAATTTGTCTAAAGATGGTGAAAGTATCCTTCTTGTTTTTGAGCAGGTTTTGACCAGAACTTTGAGGACTCGTTCAAACACTCTAAGCTGGACCCAGGTGATATGGCTTTAGCCCTTTATTCAGCGCTTTACTCCTACTCTGGCTGGGACACGCTCAACTTTATTACAGAGGAGATCAAGAACCCAGAGAGGTACGGTGTGGCAATTTTCACAATTTATTAAAATATTTTAAATTTTAGTCATGACATTCAATGCACGTGTTTTTAAAAGTCAAGTTTAACTTTGCATAAATCTCACCAAAGCACAATAAAAAAAATTTTTTATTTTTTTATTTAGGAACCTGCCCTTGTCCATTGCGATTTCCATGCCCATCGTCACGGTAATCTACATCTTGACCAATATAGCTTACTACGTTGTCATGGATGCAGACACCGTGCTCAGCAGTGAAGCTGTTGCTGTGGTGAGTGTCAAATATTAATCAATCTGGTGCCATATGCTTGAGAATGGGGGGGGGGTCTTTATTTCATTATCGACAAAAAACATAAATAAAGGGTAAATGTTTCCAACAAAATGTTCGAAAAGGGAGCAGGAAGAAACAATGGCTTATCCAGTCCTGTCCCTAAGTTTACATGCAGATTCTGAATTCAATATACATAAATATTCATACTTGCAGCATACTGTATACATGCATGTATACAGCCTAGCTACGTGAACATGCACATGCATAAATATACCTGCAGATACAAATGTACTCATCACCTACAGATCAACTTAATTTACAAACACACAGATTAACAAATTAACAGCTGGTAACATCATTTTGTCTCATTTGTTTTTATACACATTCATTTTGTAATCCTTGTATTTTCTGTTGAATTGTGCAATATTTTTACTTTGCCTAATCTCTTCATCTAAACCATTCCACAAAATCCCTCCCATGAACTGATATGCACATTCTTTTTTTTTTTCATTCCTCCTTTATAAACAGGTTTTAAGAGTGCTGCGAACACAGGGTTGATTTAAATGACATTTTCCTCTGTTTGTACCTTCACTCTCTATTCTTAAATAAGTTTTGAATATCCTTTGGAAGCATATTATTTCTAGCTTTGAACATCACCTGTGCAATTTTTAATTGTACCCAGTCCATAAATTTCATAAGCTGTGATAAAAAAAAACCCAATAATAATAATTCATTGGTGTGTTCACAATACCAAACCCTTATTGTTCTTTTTTGCATTATGCATATTTTTTTGTGGAGAACATTTGTATGTATTACCCCAAACTTCAACACAATAGTCTAAATATGGCAGTAACAGGATGTAATAAAGAGTGTGAAAAGATTTAATGTTCAAGATGAGTCTTGTTTTTTCCAATATCCCTATGGTTTAACCATCTTATTACACAAGTGTTAAATATGGGTTTCCAACAAAACTTGTGGTCCAAAATTACATGCCGAAACTTATTTTCAAACAATCTATCAATTAATACATTATTAATCTCCAGTTTAACATTTGTATTAATTTTTAAATTTCCCAAACAACATAAATTTGGTTTTAGATCAATTTAAAGACAATTTGTTTCTATCAAACCAACACTTAAGTTTTTCTTAGCTGTGTTAATTCCTCCCCTGAACAACAAATAGTTATATCATCTGCAAATACAAGAAAATGAATTATACTTGCCACTCTACATATGCGATTAATATGCATAAACAATTTGGGACTCAGTACTGAGCCTTGTGGGACCCCACAGTTAATCTTCAAACATGCAGATTTGAACGGACTAATTTGCACATATTGCTGTCTGTTGTCAAGATAACTTTTTAACCAGTTATTTGCTTCCCCTCTCACTCCATACATTTCCATTTTATGTAGCAGTATTTTATGCATGCAGTATTCTGTGTATGTAATATCCCATCAACAGTTTAACCACTTGGACACTAACAACCATTTAACTAAATTTGTACGTGTGTTGAGGGAACTTCAGTTTAATGTCAGTTCTTCCTGGTTTTTATTTTTTATTTTATTGTCCTGTCACAGGCGTCTGGCCTTGGTGCATCCTTTAAGTTATTTGTGACCGTAGGAGTCCAGATTTCAGCTGCCTCATTTTTATAAAGACATTAGAGCTTCTCTCAGGAACTGCAGGAAGTTCATGATCTCATTAGACCTCTGATAGAGGAAGAGTCGTTCCCAGGCTTGCTGTCTCGATGCTGTTGGAGGATGTTTTTTATTGGAGGATTTATTGTGATGGTTCAAATGTTCGGTCAGCATGACATGAACTCTGTACCTTTCAAATTTAAATGGAGGGGCACAGTACAACCGATTACCGTAGTAATTTTTTATTTTATTTTTATTTTCACATTTTGAAAATGGGTAATGTCAGACTTTTTTTGGTAGGATTTGTAATGTATTATAAACCAAAGATTTTTGGCTGAGTCTTACAGAAAACGTGTCGGTGGTAAACTTGAATCCTTTCTCAGACATTTGCAGACGAGGTGCTGGGTTGGGCGCGATGGCTGATCCCCATTTCCGTGGCCATTTCCTGTTACGGAGGCCTCAACTCCTCCATCATCGCTGCCTCAAGGTCTGCAAACATCCCTACAGATTTATTCTTAAGAGCTGGTTTACTTCATCAGCCAATGATGTTACAAACAAACCAATAATTTTTAAAAAAGGGGCTATGTTCTGTTTTCTGTTGCAGGTTGTTTTTTGTTGGATCGAGGGAAGGCCACCTTCCTAATGTCCTCTGCATGATCCACATTAAGCGCTACACTCCAATTCCAGCTCTGCTTTTTAATGTTTGTATTCCACTATTTTAGTGAGTTCTGACTCGTTTTGTTCTTTTTACCTTTTAACAAATTAACACTTTCCTGTATGTTTGTGTTGGTCTCTTCTCTCAGGGTGCCATGTCTCTGTTCTACCTGTCTGTGCCCGATGTCTTCCAGTTGATCAACTACTTCAGTTTTAATTACTGGCTCTTCATCGGCATGTCGATAGCCAGTCAGATCTACCTTCGCTTCAAAGCTCCAGATATGCCGCGACCTATTAAGGTATCAGAAACCATGACAGACTGAAATGTAAAATGTCCGTCCTTCGGTCCTCAGCTCAGAGGAAAGTTGAGTTGAGTTGTAGAAGCGGTTTACTTTAGGGATATTTGTTTTTGACACCTGTTGACCATAAGTAAATATATTATTGCTCGCTGTGTTCGGAGTAATGACTCGCATTGTGTTTGCATGAAATGTTTTAAATTTAAAGGTAGAGGCTGCAGCAGTTTTAGGTTCTAAACATCATGTTCCTCTGTTTATCGTGTAAACGAGTATGAAAAGGTCGTCATTTATGCATTTCTCGTGGCCTCAGTGAGAAACGATGTAACGTTTGTGTACTCCTCAGCTGCGCTGCAGGCCTGACCCCCATCAGTAGCGGTTTCAGTAATGAGTCCTGATGTTTAAAATCTGATAACTTAGTAGATTTAATTATTCTAATCTTAAAAGTAGCTGCAGAACAGATGACAACAATTGAAGCACAGTGAAAGCTTCAGAAACTTTGGAATGCTCTTGTCTTAATGGGTTTTTTTTTTTCTGCTTCCCGTTTCACTTATGCCTCCATTTTTTTTTCCTGCAGCTCTCCTTGTTCTTCCCGATAGTTTACTGCATCTGCAGCGTTTTCCTGGTGGTGGTTCCCCTCTACAGCGACACAGTCAACTCTCTTGTCGGGATCGCTGTTGCTCTCTCTGGCGCACCGATCTACTTCATCTGCGTTCATCTACCGCCGTCATCCAGACCTGCCTTCCTCGGCAAAATGCTCGGTAAGAACGGCTGTGCTGCATGTGCATCTGTCGGCACGTCCCAGTTGACTTTTCATATATTCATGTTAGAAATTATCTTTTATATTCCTGAAGTTTACCTTGTTACAAGTGCCAACTCTAGCCTTTTTGATTCAGAAATGCCCAGTTGTGAGTTTTATGTCATCGAGCATATAAATTACTTGTGTACAAATAAAAAAAACTAATTTGTACTCACATTTTTACCAAAGAAAACATCAAACCTATTCGGATAGACCCAACTTCAGAGGTCAGAATCCTTTGAGTCCCAACTTATAATGTATCTGCAGCACAAAGAGCAAACTACAGTATTGTCTACACATATTTCACAGCAGCTGAAAATCTATTTCTGAACTTTTAGACCTTAAAAAGAGTCTGTTTGTAGCCAAACTGCTAACAGCTTGAAAAACAAATTACTCAATGACTGACTGGATTATTGACTGAATTTGATTCAATTCAGTTTATTTATATAGCGCCGATTCACAACAGATGTCAGTTAATAACTATATATATATCTAAGGAGCCAGCAAATCGCTTCGAGCTTTCACGTCGTCGCAGTCTCCCATCCTAAGCGAGCACCGATACGACTGTGGAAATGAAAAACTCCCTCATGTGGAAGAAACTTCCAGCAGAAGCAGGTTCAGGACAAGTGGCCATCTGCCCCCACCGAGAGGACAGGAAGGAGAAGCGAACACACAGCGGCAGGTCCAGGACAGAGGCCATCAGGTTATTCTCTAGGAGGACAAACAGAAAGACAGTCAAATAACTACAAATACAAACTATTCATTTGATGATATGAGGGCAATTTGTCCTCCAATAGTCTAAAGTTATAGCAGCATAGGATAAGGTCAGAAAACCAAGCCGACTATAGGATTTATCAAAAAGGAAAGTCTTAAGCCCAGTCTTAAAACTGGACACTGTCAGCCTCACAGACAGAAACTGAAAGTTGGTTCAACAAGAGAGGAGCCCGATAACTGAAAGATCTTCCTCCCATTCTGCTTTTGGAAACTCTAGGAACCGCAAGTAAACCTGTTTATTATCAGTAACATAAGGAACAATAAGATCTGTAATATAAGATGGAGCTAGGTTGTTGAGGGCTTTGTAGGTTAGAAGAAAGATTTGGGAGCCAATGGAGAGAAGCTAAAACTGGAGAGATATGATCTCTCCTGCTAACTCCTGTAATGAAAAGTAAACGTGAATAATTCCTGTAGTTTAGTTCAAAACTTCTAGACGCTTGTCTGCTTTTCCAGCACAGATCCAGGTCAACACCTGCTCCAACACGAGTCCTTTCCATCCTCTTTCAGGGACTCTTTGTGTGGACCACAGCACCAGTCTGTGTTTTATTATTGCTGCTGTTACTTGAGAGCTCTTTGCAGCTCAGACTGGTGTTTGATACAAGCTGCACAATAGGTTTAGGAATAGTACTGCCACTGCTGAACAAAAGAGTAGGATTTCTAAAAATGGCTGCATAAGGTATTTACAGGCACGTGTGGAAAAACAAGAACAGACTAGTTTATGTTTTCCTGAACTTATCGACTTTTCTGTACTGATCAGGATTATCCAGAAAGAAATGTATTGTGCTGCTGGACCTGATCCAGGTTAGAGTTCTTGGAAAACATTTTAAAGCACCTTTTTTTTCCCTTTACGCTAAGCCTTTGTTTATAAGGAAGAATTACTGCAGCAGTAAATGAAGTACAGCCTTTTATTCCTTACAAATCTTATCACTATACAAAACTAGAGAAATTGCATTTCCTGCAAAAATGCAGTGTGAATGCTTATTGCAGAAGAACTTGCTGAAATTGGCTAACACATTCAGAAATGCTGCTAAAATGGACGAACAAGCCTAAGTTAGCAGAAAAAAGCCGAAGGAACACATTTGCTGAATTACCATAGGTTTAAATAAGCAGAAATCGGCACAAAAATTTGGAAATTAGCTAAAAAAAAAAAAATAAGCTGAAAATAAAAATAATAAATGGCTGAAAAGGCAAAAAGAAGCTTAAACTACCAGAAAAAAGCAGCAAGAGTTGAAATGAGCTAAAAAAAAATAGTGGAATTGGATGAAAAAACTCAAATTAGTATCAAACGAGCTAAATAGTAGCTGAAATGGCAAAAAAAAAAAAAAAAAGCTGAAAGGAGCATAACAAGCTGCCATTAGCATAAAAAAGTAAATTAGGCTGAAAGTAGCAGAAATTACCATTAAAAAAAACTTGAATATATCTGAAAATGGATGAAATTAGCTAAGAAATGCTAAAAAAAAAAAAAAAAGCTAGCTAAAAATTTAGAACAAGCTTAAGTTAGCAGAAGCAGAAAGATTTTGCTCAGTTAAGCTGAAAGAAGCAGAAATGAGCATAAAGAAGTGGATATTATCTGAAAAAAGCTGAAATTAGCACACACACACAAAAGTTGAAAAATAGCTAAAAAAAAAAAAAAAAAAAAAAAGCAGAAAGCTTAAATTACAAGAAGGAACCGGAGAGAGCACATTTTTGCTGAAATAAGCTGAAGTGGTGAAGTCTGCACAGAAGTCTGATGGAGTCATCCTCCCCACCATCACATACCTCTACACCTCCAGATGCAGGAAGAGGGCCACCTGCATCATGAAGGACCCCACTCATCCAGCACACACACTTTTGCCCCGCTCCCCTCAGGAAGGAGGTTGAGGAGCATTAAGTGTAGAACCACTAGACTGAGGAACAGCTTCTACCCTGAGGCTGTTGGACTCATGAATATCCAATCAGGAGAATCGCATCTTGTTGCTGCTGATCTGTTTCATGTTGCTGTGTTCATTTGTGCTCATCTGCTCACACAGACTCATATTCGTGCTGCTGTTAGGCGTATTGTTTTTAATGTTTTTATGTTATTAGTGCTTAGCATATTTTTAGTTAATGTTTTTCTTAGTTCATATCTTAGATCTTATAACTGTTTTTCTTTTACATTTTATTGTTGGATGCAACTGGGACCCTGTGTACATAATCTCGTTCCACCAGATGTACCACATGAGGTGCGAATGACAAATATAGAAACTCTGACTCTGAGAAAAGTTGAAATGAGTGGAAAAAAACATGGAAGTAGCCAAAAAAGCTAAAATTAGCATGAAAACAGCTAAGAAATAACAGAAAAAGCTGAAAATTGCATAAATAAGATTAAAGGAGCATAACAAGCTGAAATTATCAGAAAGAAGTTAGAAGAACAAAAACGTTTTAGCAGAAAGAATCTAAAAGGAGCACAAAACAGCTGAAAGTAGCAGAAAGTAGCTGGAAAAAAGTTTAAATGTGCAGAAGGAAGCTGAAAGAAGTTGAACCAGAACAAAATGTGAAAGGAGCAGTAAAAGGTTGTAAACAGATCTAAAGACCTGAAGGATGTAAAATGAGCTCAATTACCGGTAATTTTCTGAGGGACTTAAAAAAAAAAAAAAAAAAGTAGCAGAAAATGCTAAATATTTCAAAAAGCTAAAATTGCACCATTAGCAAAAGTCAGAGCACCCTTCTTCTGAACGAGCTGAACGTTTTGATATGATTTGTAGAAATGGCACAAAAATTGTGGAACGAGAAAAGTGCTGAAAACCGTACGGAAGAAAAATGGATCACTATAGTGTGAATGCTCCATAAACATTCAGACAATAAAAACGGTCAGAAAATGACTCCTGTTTTCTACTTCCAGTTGAAGAAATCCACTTCTTTTTTTATTTTATTTTATTTGTTTACGTTTAACTGAAAGAGAGGAGGATTTATAAATCGACAGCTTGTGTTTCGTGAGTTAATTCAGGCATTTTTCTTGTATTCAAATCTGAGCTCATTTTTTAAAGTCAGGAGTCGTTAACTGAAGCAGCACACAGGAACTCGATCAACAACAGTCCTAAGTCCTGGAATGTGTTTGTTTCTGAATTTTATGAATCCCCTTCATGAGTAGATTAGTCAGTTTTGTACAGACCAGCTTCCATAGATCCAAGTAAAAATGCTGTGAATTACCGATTAGAGGGATTAAGATTAGGGTTCCAAAGTTCAGTGTTTAAGGTCTGAATGGTTCTGTAAACCCTGTTAAACTATACATTAAGACAACACCAGTGTTTGTTAAAGGCGTGTATATTTGCTGTTTTCACAAGTTCCCCTTGACATTGTTCCATACAATCTCCCTTCTCGTTGCAGATAAGATTTCTCTGTTCACCCAGAAGCTCTGCATGTGCTGCGTGGCCTCCCCAGATATCGATCTGGACAACATAGACCCTGAAAAGATCGAATGATCGAACGAAAACAAAGGGCTCCGTGGGAAGAACCGCACAGAACGACGATGAAAGCTGTGAGCTTCAGACCACCTGGGTTTGGAGGATTATTGTCTGGACGTATGGAGAAAAAGCAAAGCTGGAGCTCTTCCCATCACGTTACAAACCAGCACGTGCTCGAACACAACGCTGCTTCCTCCGCACGTGCCGAAGGTTGCAGCTGTGGGGGTTTGTCTGTGATTAAGAAATTACCGTTGCCTAAATAAATGGCAGCAACAAAGTGAGCCTTTTTTTTTGTTTGTTTGTTTGTTTACCTCTTGGTGGCACTCGAAGAGCAGCAGAATTTTTGCACATCTTTGTTTTTGTCCGTTTGTAGGAAGTTTTATTCCGATGTTACTGAAGGACCAAATATACACGTAGAACGGGAGATTCTTGACAAACGTGCCGTTATTTCTTGTGATTTTTTTTTTTTTTTTTTCCCGTTGCCTTCGCTCATTTGTTTTCCCAAAGAGACGTTCATTTTCGTATAACTCGAATCATAAATGTGTCGCTTTGTTACGCGTTTATACATTTTTTTTTTTTACGTCAAATTTAATTTGACTTGAGCAAACCACGTCCGTCCTAAAAACAGTTTTGTTTTTCCAACTTTGATTTATCGGTTTGTGTTTACAGTGTTTTCTCGTCTCAGTCACACCCGTTATTGTTGCCTCTTTTTAACCATTTACAGGTACAAGTGACAAGAACCCTTTAAAGGGATAGTTCAGAGCTTTTTAAGTGGGCTCCTATGGGAAGGTGAATATTTATTTTACATGTAGATTGTAAAAGCTTTAGTTTGGAGGAATGGACTTTTTGGAGTTTTGATAATTGGAGCCGGGCTGAGACCAAAATGGATAGTTTGTTTTAAAATAATTAGTTGGTGAGAACGAGCATTTTCTACCAGAAAGGCCCCAGGCTGCATGAAACAACGATGCTCCTGTTAACGCCGCGGTGTGACCATATTCGGTGTACACATGTGAAAGTGTCTAAAAGTTTAATGGATAAAAGTTTATAAGATGGTGTTTGGAGCTCTGAGACCAATTCATTTTGATCTTGGCCCAGTTCAGCCATTATCATCAAACTGGTCTTTTTCCTTAACCAAAGTCATCCAAATGTACAACAGGTAAGATGATCATTATCACTCTCCTCCCCAGAGAACCACACTTCAAAAGATCAGATCTTTTCCGTTAAGTAGCCGACATTGAAGCAGCTTTTAAAGTACGGTAAAAAAAAAAAGTTTTTTTTTTTTTTGGGGTTCAGATTTTACAGAAACCTCAGGTCCAACCATGATGATGTTCTCATGCTGTGCTGCTGGTTCATCTCCTTCACAGTCGTGTTCTTTAGAGATTGTAACGCCTTAGGGGCATTTGATGACTCGATGTGCCGCTCGTTTCTTTGCCGTGCGCGAGCAAACATCTGTTTTTCTGCTCGCTCAGCTCGGAGCAGAGATTTACAGCCGTAGGATGTAGAAATGTATCAAACGTTGATGTTTGTCCTCGTGCCTTCAAGGTCCTGCCAGTTTCTGGTGTAATCTCGTCGTTTGTGCTCAAAATGCTGTACGCAATCACCGCTTGTTGTTTCAAGTCTGTTCTGATCAGACGGTGCAGCTCAGCTCATGTTGCCTCAGCTGGACCATCAGAAGCAGACGGATCTAGTTCATGTGCTCGTTTGCCGTTTCTGGGATTTTAGATTTCAAAACCAAACTATAGTGAAGGTGTGTTCAAAGTATGCAAAGCTCTATATTTACTGTATTTCCACAGATGATCGTTGCAATATAAACTTGTATTTGTTGTTTCAGTGGTACCAAATGAAATAAATGAATAAATACTGGTATGTTTCTGAATAAATGATCTGACTTTATTTAGTTGTGAACAAAACAAATGAAAGTGTTTGATGGTGAAAGTTTAGTTTGTGCAAAAGCATTTTTTTTTCCAAATAAAGTAAACTGAACTCTTAAAAGCTTCTTTCTCAGTTTCCTGATGCATGCTCAATGATCCAGGTGGTCCAGAGCATAGATATAAATATAGTGTTTATATATCTGTGGTTCAGAGGACCAGAATTAACTTTTTTTTTTTTAAAGACTTCTGAGTGTTGCAGTAAAAAAAAAAGCTCTCAGCCGGTAGAGGGCGCTGTTTCCCTACGATTAGAGGCACTTGGCTTAATTTTGTTAAAACTTGTGTTTGTGCAGTTTTTTCAAAATTATATATTCCCCAAGATGTTTATATATATATATATATATATATATATACACACACACACACATGTCCAAAAAAAAAGGTTAAAAACACAGGAGGCGATGGACGGAGGACATCTTCCTGCTTTGATGGACACTGGTCCAGTTCGGAGGAGAGAGGGACAAACCGAGGAAATTTGTTTCAGTTATCTGAAGTTAGGCCCTTGTTGATGGACGGAGATAGAAATATGGAGGACAGAGGGCTGATGATGGACAGAAGAAGACACGGGGTCATTCCAAATGTCTCATAGGCTTGTCTGATGGATGAAGATTAGGAGGACAGAGTGATGGACAGACTGGAAGTCCAGTGGCGGTCCAGTTCTTGTGGTCTCACATGTAGGGGTACTTCCAGTCTGTGAGGGGGACACGAGTCTGCTTCACCACCTGAGACGATGTCCACCTGAGGACGTAGTGAGGACCACCAGGTTGATCGTTTGTGCCTGAAGCTCTGGCTCCTCCAAATATCTGCTGGGCCACTGATGGAACCAGTGGATTTATCACGTAGTAGTTCCCCGCTGCGTTCCTCAGAACCCTGGAGTCTTCATCAAACACATTTGTGTCATGTCTGTGATCTCCAGCTCTCTCTGGAGTGGTTCACAGCCGAGTGAAGCAGCTGAGATGAGAATCGGCACCTACAAATCTGAGGCCATGGTCCTCAGTCAGAAAAGGATGGATTACTCTCTTCAGGTCGAAGGTGAGGTTCTGCCTCAAGTGGAGGAGTTCAAGCATCTCGGGGTTTTGTTCACGAGTGAGGGAAGAATGGAGCATGAGATTGACAGATGGATTGGTGCAGCGTCTGCAGTATTGTGGACTCTGTACCGGTCCATTGTGGTGAAGCGGGAGCTTAAGGCAAAGCTCTCTGTTTACCAGTTGGTCTACATTCCTACCCTCACCTGTGGTCATGAGCTCTGGGTAGTGAAATGAGTTTCCTCTGCTGACTCTGGACTCTCCCTTAGAGATGGGGTGAGAAGTTCAGTTATCTGCGAGACTCAGAGTAGAACCGCTGCTCCTCCACATCGAGAGGAGCCAGTTGAGGTGGTTCAGGCATCTAGTCAGGATGCTTCCCAGGAGCCTCCCTAGGGAGGTGCTTTGGGGACTGTCTGACTGGGAGGAGACCCCGGGGAGGACCCAGGATACACTGGAGAGACTACGTCTCTCAGAACACTTTGGAATCCTCCCAGAAGAGGTGGCTGTGGAAAGAGATGTCTGGACCTCCCTGCTCAAGATGCTGCCCCTCACGACCCGACTTCAGAACAAGTGGAAGAAGATGGATGGATGGAAAAAACAACTGAACTTCTATTCTGAAGTCCAGCTTCAGAATAGAAGTTCAGTTTTATAACTTTTTTTTTTTTGATTGAAGGAAACATTTTTGTAGAAGTAAAATGGGACAATCACCAGCCCACTGTCTTTTGAATGTCCAGAGGACCAGATTTAACTTTTTTTTAGATTTTTCTACCTGGATTAATGAGCATGCATCAGGATTCCAGCCCACTGGTAAATATATGTTGTTGTTTTTTTATATAAGTTTGCTGACGTTGAGCCATCAAACTGGAGGGAAAATGTTTAAATAAAATTATTTTAAAACACCAAAGCATCAGTTGGCGCAGCTGTTCAGATTATATTTGTCATAAAATGTATATTTTAAAGGTAAATGTGTCGATGTGTAACAAAATGATGCATTTTAAAAAGAAAATGGCTTGTAAGCATCAGCATGTTATAGGATTTTAAGCTTTGATCATCAGTTCAGTTAAAGTTTATTCACTGTTTTATTCTATTTAACTTTTATTTCCTTTCTGTTTTCTACAAAACTTGTTTGTGACTTTTAAAATTTTAAATACACAACTTTAAGAGAACGCTGAGAGCTGAAAACTGGAGAATATTAAACTGATCTGGAAACACCAAAAGAGGCCAAATGCTAGCTAAAAGAAGTAAAAGTCTAGCTAAAAGCAAAGAATAGCTAGAAGCCAAAAGTATTAAAAAGCTTAAGAGCTCATTTTAGTAAAAGACTAGCTAAAAGTAGCAAAAGGATAGCTAACCTATCACTAGCAAAATGATTAGCTACAAGCTACATAAGGCTATATAATAGTAGCAAAAGGATAGCTAAAAGTTTAAAGGTCTCAAAAGGCTGTCTAAAAGTAACCAAAAACTGAATGGTAGCTAAAAGAACCAGCTATCAGTAGCCAAAGGTTAGCTTAAAGAAATGAAATGGTAGCTAAAAGTAGCAAAAGCTAATTAAAAAAAGCAGAATGTAGCTGAAGGCTAACAGTAGCAAGAAGGGTAGCTAAAAGCTATCACATTAGTGAAATACTAGCTAAAAGTCATAAAATGACCAGTTAGGAGCTAAAAATAGCAAAAGGTCAGTTTAAATGTCAAAGAATGAAATTGCTAGCTAAAAATATTATGCCTGCTCCTAAAAGCCAAAGTTTGCCTAAAATTAGCTAAAGGCTACTTAAACATAAAAGCCTAAAAAGACACAACGGTGTTTGAGTTGACCGATGTTTCTGGATGAGGTGAAAAGTTCTCATAGCATCTTTATGGAGAAAATATTTTAAATAAAGTTAAACATTTTGAAGAATACAAAAGTTTTTACAGAACAAAAAAAATTAAAAAAAAAAACTACAAACGTAATCTGGAGTAGCCGAACATTGTGATGTACGATCAGCTCAAAGTTTGCAGAAGTCGTTTGAAACGGGAACGTGTGGATCAGCGTTCACACCATCAGGTAAAGAAAGAGGTGAAGCAGCCATTTACGACGAGTTGTTCCACAGTTCTGCTTTAAGTGTTTTTCTTGCTCCAAGTGTAAACAGTCTCCTCAGGTAACTGGGTGACCCCCCCCCACCCCCCACCCCCCCACCACCACCTCCCCTGCAGGGAGGCTCAGCTCTGAGGTGTCACCTTTCTCCAGGTTGTGCTCTCTCCTCTTCAGGTGCAGCCTCAGACAGGAGAGGCCTGACTGTGCTCCTCCCCAGGACCGGAGGAGTTGGGTTCCACCGACTCGTGCATAAAAGATGAAGCGCTGGAAAGGACACGCAGCCACAACCGCCTCCTGTCCTGTCCTGTCCTGTCGTGTCCTGCAGAGAGGAGACGGACATCTCGGGTGGCCTTTCACATTCAAACCCCCTCACAGGCGCTGGGACTGCAGCATCGAG